AATCTCACTGGCACTCTCAACACGACACGCAAGGATGGCACAATTACACAGAAGATAAACACTTTGAGTGAGTAGAAATACTTTGATTGAATATAAAAATATATATTTTGCATTGTATAAATTCACTATTCCACATTTTAAATGTATTTGTTAAATCTAAACAATGTTTGTAAATCCCAGGCCTTGATGATGATCTCAATAAAGATCGAAACGTTGGCCCGATAAAGAAAATGTTTTTATGAAACATACATCACACCAGACCGCATCTCACGATTTCTGAATAATTAGTAATTAATTCCGTCGGCGCAATCGGGTGTTAATCTGTAAATTTTCATTTGGGCCTTTAATGTTTTATTGTCCGAGAACAATAAACGACGAAAACGATTTTATTGACGGCTGTGCCAAATGCCATTTTTATAAATTTCTAAGTTTTAGAACTAGCATTTGCCTTTGAATCCAAAGGATGACATATAAACTAAATAGAAAATAATCCACGTTATTTGCGTCCCAGAAATAGTGACAAGTGTGATAACAGGGAAAGAATGGTACAATTTACCACATTTTATGTTGGCCTCAATATTTGGCATTCTGGATTAGTGAAAACAAGCATAAAGCAAGATAGACCTCAATAAAAAAAGTTGCTACAAATGTGAGATCTTATTTAGAATTTGTAAGACCTAACAAGAAGGTAGAAAATAAATATATTAAAAATAAACCATCCTGGTGCTCATTTAAAAAAAATAGTTTTTTTCATTTCTCAAAATAATTTTATTTTTAGTGCTATCATTTTTATAAAACAAAAAAAATTGGTTCTACTCTACTATTTTGTGTGGGCATTATTTCTCTGTTTTATTCTTATTTCTTACAAATCCATTAGGTTTCGTGGTCCGATTGACCAAATAAATTCTTTTCATTTAATTAATCTTTAAGTGAGGTATTGGCTGAGATACCTTCAAAGGGATGGATATAAAATTCAAAGGGTGGGGTTGGGAAGCCGAAGGTCGTGGGTTCGAATCCCACTCGTGACACTGACTTTTTTATCTCAACCAATGCCTTACTTAAAGATTATCTTATTTCTTACATTAATTGATTTACTCAGCGAGAGCGACTGTGTGGTTATCCTTCTATTAGGTTCGTTCAGCAGCATGCAGCATTCAGCCTGGATACATCTATAAGACTACGCCTTCTATCAGCCTATATTTTTTTAAACCTTGCAGAATTATTTGCCTGGAAGAATGTAATCATAACAATGGTATATAAGTCGGGCAAGCAAATGAATGAACTAAATAGCTTAGGGCATTGTTTGCTTCCATAATCCTCAAAGATTTTAGAGCTATTGATGGTCGCATATCTACACGAACACTTAAAAGAGAAAATACCGGAAACACTGTGAGGTTTTCTTCTCGCTCACTCAGTTGCATAGAATAACATAAAATATTGGATGCTTTCGAAAGTAAAGAAGTGTCTTGGAACACAAAACAATCCTTTGGCATCAGGTAGTACTTCCAAAATAAAATCTCAACTTCCTGACACATTGAAGAGAACAGTCAAATAGTACTTTATAGAAATGATAAATGGTGAAATGAATGTGTTGCTCAATCTTTTTAAAAAGATAGTTCCTACTCACAGTTTGTTGTTTTCAACGATCCGAATATCAAGCTTGTAACTCATCATCAGGTTGCAGGAGCTTACAACCTGGTGATGAGCTATAAGCTTGAAATCCAGATCGTTGAAAACAACTAACAGTGAGTAGGTACTATATTTTTAAAAAGATTAAATTTTGCGGTAAAATATCGAAATGCGATATTCAGTGCCAGTAATGAAAGTACGGGGATACCATAGGGTAGCTGGAGAGGGCCATACTTATATTTAATAGATTCCTCTGACTACCCGTCTCTTGCAAGTAATATTGCTAAGTTTACTGGCGACATACTTATCCTGAACAAAAGTACATGCCAAGAAACAGCAGAAAACATTCAGTCCCATGCAGAAATTGTGGGTATATGGTCCAGAAATTGGCGAGTTAAAAGGAATGATAGTAGAGCTAAATTAATAAAATTCACGCTTGACGAAACCTTACCATACCGAATTAACCGGCCAAAACATTCCACAAGGGCAGACCGAGAAGTATCTCTGGTTTCGTACTACGCAATTAAAAATTCTCTTAGCTATAGACGTTAAACTACAGCTACATATCGTACCTAAAAGTCTAATGTTTCTAGTGGTTATACGTCTTCTTTGGACGTATGAATGTGAAATTTTAGGCTAAGCATCCCGAAACGAATCACAAAGATTACAACCATCCAAATTCGACTATTATATGGATGTCATTATGACAGACACAACTAGATATAATTTTGCATGGGTTCTTGTTGATATTATACTTATGAAATTTTATGTTTAGTGTTTAGTGGCCGTTAGTCAGTGATTATTCGGAGATCGTGAGATGCGGTCTGGTGTGACGTAGGTTTTAGAAAACCTGCACGAGAAAGAAAATGTTTTTCTAAAACCTGCGTCACACCAGACCGCACCTCACAATCTCTGAATAATAATAAAATTTTATGTAATTTATGTTATTATTTTTTTTTTAACGAGGGTTTGCAACATGGGGTGCCGGTGTTTTTGAAAAAAAGCCCGTTTGTAATGCAGGGCCACTGGATTCGAACCCGGGACCTTCACACTACAGTGATGAGCGCCGTGTCAACGCCTAAATCGTTGCGGCCACCGACGCCCCTGTAATTTATATGTTAATTATGTTAAAATGCAATACCATTACATGTGTAATTATGCTGTCACAACTAATTAATTTAATTTGAGGACAGAAATTGGGTTGTACCTTCATAACTTGTTCCATGTTATTATGTAAACACTGGTCGGCAAAACTGTACGAAAATGTTAAAGAAGGTTTACAATTAAGCCAAAAAAACTTTTTGGGAAGAGCTGCCTTTAATATTATGTCAAGGGACTTATAACATGTATAGTGTATATATTGAAGAGTTTTTTCGAAGTCCACCAGGGAGGGCCCCACATCAAAGGTCTAGAGTCATCGAAACCTCTGAGGATGGTGTGATTGGTCGAACACGTGATAACACGCAGTTTTCTTTTTTAACTATCCCTAAAATTAAAAAAATAATTTGTATCTCAGATGAGTGGCGTTTAGTGAACAATTTTATGATTATTTTTGCGATTTTATGTATATATCTTTTGTAGTATTTTTTTATTGGAAAGATTTGATTTATTTTAAATTTTGTTTTTTCTTCCTTTCATACACCATTTCTGAGGAGATCCACTTACCACGGTAAACTGTATACCATTTCCGTATCCGAACCTTTCTATTTGGCCGAAGAAGATCGTGGGTTCTCCCAAAGCTGCAAAAGGACTGTTCTCGTTTTAAGGGTAATGCATCTTGCTCTTATGTAAGGCATCTACAATTTTTCGATCACCAACGAACAAAAAATCGCCCGATAAAAAATGCCCAGAGAGCAAGTTGCATCAAAGCAGAAGCGTCACAAAATCGCCTCAGCACGCCAAAAACACCTGTCCCGTTTAATGGAGCTGACGTGTGTTCTTGCACTTGCAATAATAAAATTTTAATTATTATAACGTCTAAATACATTCGAAACGCTACAAACAAAATCTTTCGTCTTTCAAATGAAACACATTACAACCCTCTTGCATGGAGATTATTTGACAGCAGAGTTGCCAATGTATATGAATCAAATAAATTAAAAGCACGGCTTTCTTTGTTCTTTATTCAAACCACACGAATTAATTGTATTTACAGGGTATTAGGTTAAAAATTTTATTCTGGTGTGTGGTGATTAGTTAGTCGATAATTATTCAGAAATCGTGAGATGCGGTCTGGTGAGATGTAGGTTTCAGAAAAACATTTTTTATCGTGCCAACGTGTCGATCTTTATTGAGATCATCTTCAGGGCCTGGGATTTGGGATTTTATCTCACTGGCACTCTCAACACGACACGCAGGAGTGGCACAATTACGCAGAAAACAAACACTTTGAGTGAGTAGAAATGCTTTGATTGAATATAAAATTTTTTTTTGCATTGTATAAATTCACTTTTTTCCACATCCTACATGTATTTGTTAAATTTAAACAATGTTTGTGAATCCCAGGCCATGAAGATGATCTCAATAAAGATCGAAACAATTAACTAAAGTTTTTAGTTGAGATAAAAAAGTCAATGACACGAGCGAGATTCGAATATCTCAACTAAAAACCTTAATTAATTGTAAGATATTAATTGGTCAAGCGGACCACGAAACTAGTGAATTTAATAAGTTTAACATGAAGTATATCTTCACTAAAGCTCTCCATGGCCATTTCATTTGTCGCCGCGAATCAAATAGATTACACGACATTTAAAAAATTGCAAAAAGGAGGGAAAATTCAAAAGGTGGGGTTGAGATGGAAAGTTAGTGTCCGAGTGGATCGAGGTCATGATAGCTCAAGTGGTAGAGCAGGGGCGTATCTAGCCGAAGATCGTGGGTTCGAATCCCCCTTGTGCCAGTGACTTTTTTATCTCAACTAAAAACTTAATTAATCGTAAGATATTGATTGGTCAAGCGAACCACGAAACTAGTGAATTTAATGATTTCACTAAAGCTCGAAACGTTGGCACGATAAACAAAATGTTTTTCTGAAACCTACATCTCACCAGACCGCATCTCACGATTTCTGAATAATTTTATCCTGGCTGCTGTTGGCTTTCAAAGATTGGGCTGGTAAGTGTTTCCACCATTTGAGAGTTTTGACAATTTCTGATTCCCAAATATACCTAGAAAGTGACGCTAAACTGCAAGTTGGAGGGGAGTGATTATTAATTTTATCGGGGAGCTCTATTTTGTACAAACAGACAGTGATCATTATGCTAATTTCTAGTGCTGCAGACGAGAATAAGGAAAAGCAATAAAAAAATTTGTTATGTATATAATATTATCTTTATATATTTCTTCTAATTACATATTCCATAATAATAAAATTCACTTTTTAACATTTGAGATATAAACAATACATTTAGCGTTTAACACACTGTAAATAGCATTTAAAATTGTAAGAAACAAAAATATGTACACATATATTTATCATAGACCCTTTTCCAATATGGTACATATTTACATAGAATGATGTAAGGAAATGCGCCGAGAAGTCGAGCAAGATTGCAGATAGGGACACCGCGAACCCTTCCGGACCGGATTAAGCAAAATGTTGAGCAAATGGGCCCCGGCCTAGGTCGGGCTTCGCGGAGTGGCTCATTCCCAGTCGGCAATGGCTCACAACCCGGCCATTTCCACATTTAAAATTTACGCTATACTAAATCACTATTAACATTTTCGAACGATCGTGTTACCATCACATGTTGACAAAACCTATGTATAGTTTTTGAATAGAAAAATATTCAAGCATCTTCGAGGAAGTTTTTCCTCTGCTGTTGTGTTCACAGGTTTAGTACCTTTCCAAATGGAAAGATTTACTACATTATTACAAACCATTTTGACTAGATTTAATTATTAATATTTTTTAGCAAAAGAAAGGGAGTTCTTTCTCTGATTCTTTTTTTGCCTGTAAAACCGTATTGTGGTTTTAATTTTACATATCTACTAAAATGTATAAACAATTAAGCTCTTTACAATGAGTATTAAAAATAAAATCGTATTGTCTCTAAATACATGTTACAGAACAGATTTGATAGTTTTTAAATGATCGATTTATAAAATTGCCTCTATATTTTTTCTCAATTGAAAAAAATATTTAAATTCTTTAATTTTATAAGCTTTAACTATATAGACAATAAAATTACAAATACATGCGTGTAATATTAGCAACAGAGTTTTATACAGAATGTTTTTTCTTATATTATATACATACGGAAATATCAAATTCGAAATTCCAAACTCACAGACGATAAAAAAAAATATTACAATGTCCTGTATAACCAATTACATTCATATATCACAAATCGGTAAAGTACAAAAAAATAAATAAATAACACATGGCTTATTTATTTATTTTCTTGCACTGTTGTTTATATTAAAAAAATTAGTAAAACCGTATATACAAATAGGGTTTTCACTTTTTTTTTGACTTTGGGCTTTTTCCTTGTCTGGCTTGTTTTCTCATCCATTAAACAAGGCAGGGAAACAACCGAGTTGCTGGAGAGGTTGCTTCTACCATCACAAATGCAAAAGACCGTAGTGAAGGAGCAAGCAAAAGTTGTACATCGCCTGTACCGTAGGAAACTTACGATTGTTAAGAAAGTTTGCAGCTTTAAAAGTTAAAACTTAATTAAGAGCTCTTGTCTATTTTAGATGTTTTTTCAAATGGCTCTATGCTTTAGTGCACATTTATCTTTCAATATCCAAAGAGTTTCTTTTGAACAAAAATGTTATTGTTTTCCTTCGTTTTAGAATGTGTTGTTTATTTCGTTGAATAATATCTAGGGTGGTTTTGTAAGGTTTGGGGTTACTTTATTAGATCGAATTCTATTGAATTTGTATTCGGTGAATGTTAAGACAAGTTCTTGGTAGCGTGAACAGATTTTGGATTTCCTTGTTACTATCCGGAATTAATTATGTGAATGGGATAAGTAGAGGCTAAGTCACAGAAGTTTCGAAGAAAGATTTGACGAATTCACAGGGCGGAATATGTCGTGGCTGGCGGTTGGTGTTGGGCCCGTTGGCCGTTTTGGCATAGCATCATGGTCGAAGTGGGACCTACGCCGTTCCCCTCTCTCATCGCGTTCATAGAGCAACTGCTGGAGAAGAGCTGCAGTAGCTCTCTCCTGATGTTCGAGTTGAGCCAGCCGTAGACGATCGGGTTGGAGACGGCCGAGCTCATAGCGATCACGTGGCATGCGGCAAGAGCGACGAAAAAGCTCTCGGGTGAAAAGCTGGTCTCTTTGGCCGAATCCGCTGTATAGAGAAGATCGGCCCAGAGGGAGAAAAGTCCAAGGGGTAACCAGCTAACAGCAAACAGTACCGCTACACCTGAAAGCAGATATAGTAAATTGTAAGAAATTAAAATACTCTCTTATAAATGTCACATGATAACTATCTCAGCTAACAGGTCTGTCCATTCTGACTGGTTTGTTCTTTCACCATCATCAGCAATAAACCAAGTATTAAAGATAGCGCAATGTCGAATCACGTCTGTCAAAAAACAGCAAGAATGGGCAGACCTAGATGATGGGTGACGATCAAGGACAGGTTCATGACCTCAGAGACCTCTCATCACATATTATTAACATTTTATTCAAACTTTCAAACAATGTTTTCTTATATTTCGACCTCAACAGTTAATCTTATGATTCTTCCTTCTTGAAGGTGGGATAATAGATCATCTCAAAAAACCACAACCAGTTTTTATCCACAACGTTTCGGATTTATTTTAATCCTTCCTCAGGTGAGTTAACGCCTGTACACAGAAACAAATATTTTTTTTATACATTTTTATATCAACATGGTTATCATTGTTTCTTCACTACTTACAATGGTTAAAAAAGTGGTCGTCAGTCATTAATATTTTATAACAATTTATTTTAAAAAAGAGCCAGTGTGGTACTTATTCAGACTAGAATAATAATAAGTGGGAAGTTTATGGGCCAACAAACAGCTGAGGTCATCGCCGGCCCTCTACGTGTTTTCCATCTTTTTCTTTTCTTTCGCGCATATTTTGTTTTAAACTGCAGCCATTTGAGCATCTCGATCTGGTTACTGACTCTCTGATTTCAGATATATACTACGTTGATATTCTAGAATGCTAGTCTCTCNGTAATTAACCTTTACATAAAAAAAGATAAACTGTCTGTTAATTACCGTCAAGACTGTGATATGATAAGTGATTGCTAATTTAATTTGTTAAACAATATATAAAAATAATCTAGTCAATTTTAAACTCTGGATGAAACTTAAAATGTGTGATAGTTGTGATAATAATTGTTAAAATATCGTTAATAAAATAAATAAAATTTGTTGTTTAAAAATAGATTTATAAGAAAAATGCAATTTTAACTGTTGAGTGGTATTTTTAATGTTGATTCGTTGGTCTGTGATAAGATGTTGATAAGAGGTCGAACGTCACATAAGAGGTTGTGATAAGAGCCTAGTCAGGTTCAAAACATTAAAACGTTTGTTTCTAGTCTGAATAAGTACCACACTGGCTCTTTTTCAAAATAAATTGTTATAAAATATTAATGACTGACGACCACTTTTTTAACCATTGTAAGTAGAGAAGAAACAAAGATAATCATGTTGATATAAAAATGTATACAAAAAAAATATTTGTTTCTGTGTACAGGCGTTAACTCACCTGAGGAAGGATTAAAATAAATCCGAAACGTTGTGGATAAAAACTGGTTGTGGTTTTTTGAGATGACCTATTATCCCACCTTCAAGAAGGAAGAATCATAAGACTTCCAAACAATCAAATAATTAATTTTTATACCATCCGATTGGAGACAAATATAAAAACAGCTAGGAATTCCAGTGAACATAAGAAGGTTGATGTTGAACTAACGAATGTCATTGGGATTCGATTTCACAAGGCGAAATCAGGTCGCTTATTTAGTGTCCGGTTTTTCACAGCTTTAAGTGTATACGTATCATTAACATTTTTTTAAAACTTAAAACTACTATATAATTATTTATAAATGTATTGATTTTTACTTTTTCCGAAAGGGGGCAGTATGTCATGACGACGACAAATTGGTATTCGTCAGTGATAATCCACGGTTAAAGATAGGGGGAAATGCCGAATCGTGCCTGGCAGACAAAACCAGCGACGATCAACTAAGATGATCAGAAACGATCAAATTACAGATTACTGTTTTAATTTTTTATTCTTTATTAGTTAGTTAAAGTATATTTAATACATGATATGTTACGTCAATTGTAAAAAGGAAATACAAGATAAAATGGCTAAGGCCATTATACTTACTAGCATATTTACAAGAGTTTTCAAATTTAGTTTACATGAATAAATAAAAAGTGGAGAAAAAATTATTAAGAAAAAAACACTTTCAATAGGATAAAAATAAAAATATTTACACAACAGGCATAGGACACAGAACCGTTGTTTAACTAGAATATTATTACAACTACTAATCTAATACTAATTTAATAAATATATAAATAATTTAATTAATAAATAGATTAGTACTCAATTAATTATACAGAATTTTTTCGAAATGAAACATTTTTGTCACAGGCGGGATTCGAACCCACGACATTCGGCTAAATACGCCCCTGCTCTACCACTTGAGCTATCGTGACTTCGATCGCCCATGCCACAAAATTTTCATTTCGTTTCCCCGTTTATATGTAGCTTTCATTCGAGGTAGCTCAAATGGTAGCCAAAAGTCGTGGATTCGAATCCCGCCTGTGACACAAATTTTTCATTTCGAAAATTTGTGTATAATTAATTGAGTATTTGTATAATTAAGCATAAGCTGATAAAATAATTAAATAATTAATATAGATATATAAGTGTTAGAATAACTAAATCTGTAAATAAATACAACAACCTTATACTAAAATGTGTTTGTTCCGTCTCTGTTTCCAATTTTTGGAGAGTGATAGTTGCCTATGTTTTTTACTGTCATGTTTGTAGCTTGTAATTTCAACCTTAATGTATGGGATGTTTACAATTTCGTTCATACAGTTCATACGAGTCCATCTTGTAGATGAACTTATTAATCTTAAAAATTTATTTTGAATTATTTGTGTGCAATGTACTTTGGTGTTACTCGCATAACCCCACACTTGAAAAGCGGATAACAGGATAGTCTGACTGTTGTTTTATAGATAATTAACTTATTTTCGAGGCTCATTCCTGATTCACTACAAAAAGAGGAAATAGTTTTGATGGCCCATTTCCCTTTGTCAACTTTTGCGAGTGTTGACACCGAAGTTACACATCGAGGTATAAACCAAGTATTGAACACTATTACTACAATAAATAATTGAATCACCAATTCGTATAGTTTTTTTTAGTGAATAGAATAGCCTCTGTTTTTTTAGTATTCAGCCTTAGTTTCCATCTGTGATAAAACTTAACGATCCTGTGTAGGTTTCAGTTTGTTAGTGATACCACTCACTTCCACGATGAACATTTTAGTGCTGTCGTCAACATTCATCGCTAATGTATAGTCAAGTCAAGGGAGGGCATTTATGCTGAATATATTTGGCCCTAGAACTGAACCTTGTGGAACCCCAGCATCAATATTACACAGTGGCGAGACAAGGTTATTCGAGTTTACTCTAAATGATTATTTGGAGATCGTAAGATGTGGTCTGGTGTTACGTAGGTTTAGAAAAACATTTTCTTTATCGTGCTAACGTTTCGATTTTTATTGAGGTCATCTTCAGTTTTCCCCCATTATATAATTGAAATCTGCTCATAGAATCCCATGTTGTTCTTCATTCTTCTCTTGTAGAAATGTGTGGAGTTTAGTGACCGTTAATTAATAATTACTTGGAGATCTTGAGATGCGGTCTGGTGTTAGATACGTTTAGAAAAACATTTTCTTTATCTTGCCAACGTTTCGATCTTTAATGAAAATGATCTCAATAAAGACCGAAATGTTGGCAAGATAAAGAAAATGTTTCTCTAAAGCCTACGTCACACGAGACCACATCTCACGATCTCTAAATAATAATTAATTAACGGTTATTAAATACCACACACACACACGCGCGCGCGTGTGCGTTACTCTAAATGTTCTGCCCTTTGGCTAATCATATAATCCTAACAATGTAGCAAGGGATATTATATTTTGTGAGCCTGGAGATAATACTTTGCGCCAAACTGTATCGAATGCCTTCTCCATGTCAGGTAAAATCATCCCCCTGTGTTTTTTAACATTTAAATTTCAGATTCATCACATAACAGGCGTCAACAATGTATCAATTTTTTGAATAGTTTTATTAATTTAATTAAAATATTAATAAATGTTTTAACTAATTGATGGGTGGCAGGAAATCGTGTAAATGAAGTAATGACTGTGCAAACGAAGAACCACGAATTGATCGTATTGGCGATAACCACATCTCATATCAACAGTTTATACTATTTCATAACAAAACTATTTTCATAAAGACAAAAATAATGAGCTTATAAATTAGCTAAAATACTAAAGATTTGTGGGCGAGGTCGTCGGAGAGGCTCCTGAGAGTAAAGAGCACGACCGGTAGATGGCCTTCAGAGAACCTGAGCTGGAGACGAGGGATCGTCCCACCCGATTGAGGATTGGCCATACCCGGTTGACACAAGCACCTGCTTTTGGGCCAAAGCCCGTGCAGGTGCCTCTTAAGCAGAGAAAGGTTGCTCGATGTGTCTCACATAATAGAGGGGTGTCATCCTTTGCACCATACATAGAGCGTGTAGCATGCCGCCGGATTAAAGGATGGTTCTCGGACACGGTAACGAGTTTAATGATCCCCTGTTCCGCTTTTTAGGGGAATTGGGAATTTTTTATTGTATATAGCCTACAAAATATGTGCTTCTGTACCTTGTATGAGTGAATGTATTTATTGGTGTGAATGGGGAAGGACTGATGGCGAAGTAGCCTCTCAGGTTTTGTGTAAGACTTGGGCCGATAGCGGAAATTTTAAAAAAATACCACATCGACTCCAATTTAGATTAGTTTATTGTAGGAAACAAGTAGATGGAGGAATATCGAGCAATCCATCTACCAAACAGAATGAGTGTAATCATTGTATGTTGATGTGAATGTATTTATTTGTGTGAATGCATATTGAATGTGTGTTGGAATATTTCGCATGCGCTCGGGGCTGAAATGATAAGCGGTCGGATGCTGCTTTAAAAAAAATATTTGAATTCTAAATATTTAAAAAGTATATTTTTGCTTATAGTACTCCAAGTAATTCTTTTTAGTTTTCACATACATAATTATTTTTATGAATGATTTGTTATGCTATTTTGTTACAAATGTTATGAAAATATTTATTAGATGTTTAATTAGGCTTAG